TATATGCTAATGTGTAACATAGTGTATATGTAGGTATTAAATTTATATTGTTTGCATCTGCTTTACAAGGTTTACATGTATGATTTTGTTTATTTCCTGGCCATTAAACGAGCAACATTTAGATTTTTTCATATAATGGACAATAGATATAAACAACTACGACATTTTTGATATTTTTTCAAATATTTCTGTTTGTATAAAACTATTAATATATTTTTGGAAGAATAGAAATTTCTGTACCATTTTTAAGTCATTTTTAGAACTCTAGGAAGACACGCTGTTAAAATATCAGCACAGATATTATATACACTCCAAAGGTGAGATGGTGCTCTGTCACAAAGAATAGAAGTAGAGAACACTGAAGAACAAAAGTTATTGCAAAGGAGAAAAACAGGAAAAATATGAAGAATGTAATACATAACCTTACAGAAGAACGCACGTAATCAAAGGTTTAATAATTGAACACAATAGAGTAAGTACACTTATTATAACACTAAGCAGTATGATTAGTGTAATGTTCTCAGAGTTTTTATTTCATTTTTCTGATAAAAACATGCATTTGTTTCCCAAGGAAAATTCTTTGTAACTTATAATCAGCATTTCCATGAACCAAAGTATGTCGTATAAGAGAAATTAGGCATAAGCACTTTTTACCTTCTGTTTTAGTTATGATTAGGATTGTCTATGGATCACACAAATGTGTTTGTACAAAGGTACACACACACACACACACACACACACACACACACACACACCATATCTTCTTAAACCAGAAGATGATGGGGGCTGGTGGCTGGTTCTGTGGCTTGTCACAGCAAGAAACTTCTTGCTGCTCTCTTGTGATACATATAGCTTCCATCACAAGTCTCAATGCTTCCAGATTTATCACTCATCTCCACTTTGCTATCAGCCAGAAATATATGGAAGAGGAAGAAGTTATTCTTAACTCAAAGAACACTACTTGGTGGTAATAGGTGGTATTTCCACCTTTATCCCTTTAATAAGGGCCTGGTCACATAGATAACCCACATGAAAGAGAGGTTGGGTAATACTGCAGTGACAGAGTACGATGTGTCACATAAAGATGCAGGATATTTTGTATTTAGGAAGAAAGCTAGAATGAATATTGGCAATGACTGTTTCATTTACATTTTCCAATTTTTAGAGATTAAAAATTTTCCAAATTAAATTTCTAATGTAAATATTTTCTGATGTTTAGAAAGATGACTCTGGGCTGTTTCTGCAGCTTAGCATTTGAATTTAGCACTGCATCTAAGAAGAATAATACTGTTCTATGTGATTTAAAATAAAATATGTAATGCATAAAATAAATGCATAATGTTTTATTAAGCTGGTGAGATGCACCAGAAGGCTGCATATTGTGCTGGGGGAAGCAGTCCCTGTATCTCAACAACTTTTGGCTCATTCTTATGGCTTTCCCTTCATTCTTAGTGTTCCCCATCCTGAAATTGTTTCTTGACCTTTGCTGTATTCCCAGATTTTTCACACCTTTCACTGACAATACAGATGTTCATTCTCATGTATTTCGCACCACTCCAGGTTATAACCAGGCACAACCTCTTGTGCCTCACTCATACAATTTGTTATTGATGTAACATGCTCCCCAAAAGTTTATTTTGTCAGAGGTGGGAGTTTTGAATGGTGAATGAGTCATCACCAATGGATAAACCATGCTTGCTGAATGTGCTGCTGGGAAGGAGGCGTGGCCTGCTTGAAGGAGATATGTCAGTGGGGGTGATATATGTAAGGAGGTATCCACATCCTGGGCCACTTCGCTTCTCTTTCTCTGGCTTTCTGGTCCCCTCCCCCCCTTTCCTTGCTGGAATGGGTTTACCAGCTTCCATCTATCAATCCCTTCTGCCAGGCTATTTCTTCTTTGGAGTTAACCAATCACAGACTGAGTTGAGTTCTAAACCTGTGAAACAAAACAAATCCTCTCTTTTAAGGGCAAGTGTCAGATATTTTTTCTCATAGATTGAAAACAGACTAATATAAAGCTAAAATAAAAGGAAGTAAACAACATTAAAAAAGATTGAAAACAGACTGAAATACTGTAATATTGATGTCTCCTCTGATATTATTTACTATTAATGAATACTTGTGGGTAGTACACCTTCAAAAATTGTCAAATTATTAAAAACAAAAATTGTGCCTAAAGTTTGATCATTATTAATAAGCAACATTTTTCATGGGGCTTGTGAATTATTCTAAGTTTTTATCCCTTAAATCTTCAAGGACAGTCTTCAGCAATTTACAAAAAACACCTGTAAGACACATATTAAAATTCCACATTAAAAAACACATTTAAAGTGTTTCAAAATAAACCTAATGAAAAGGATTTATTGTAATTATTGTCTCAAATTTATACACTTTTTAATGAGTACTGAATGAAACTATTAAATATAACTTTACTCTCACATAGTTTAATACAAAAGTAATTCCTAAAATACTTATGTTTTCATTGTTTTTCAATTTGTCTTTTATTGTTAGAAGGAAAACACTCCTCATGCTTCCTCCTTGTTCTTGTTATAGATCTTTGACAGTATCTATAATATTTAAGCTTGGGAAGTGAAGAAAAGCTGCTTTGATCAAGAGCCAAGCTAAAATATTCCCAAATGTACTAGTTTATGAATATAACATATTATGTGAATGTGATTGTGTGGGAAAATGAAAATAAAAATGTTCAAATCACACAGCTACTGATTCTTTTCTGATTTCTATTTTTCCTCTTGTGAGGAGGCACTTTGTAGAATTCCTTCAGTGCCTATCTTAGAAATGGCCTCAAAGTTTGAATTTTT